TTTGGCCAACTTAACCTTCAAGGAATAGGGTCCTAGTCACTCTGTCCTAGAAGAACTTGATGATCCCCATTGGGAACCAGTCCTCCATGCTCAGACAACTCTCTGTCTTTCTAAGCTTCTTTCAGCTAGTTTTATCCTGTGAGTCAATGTGTTTCTTCCTGTCTGTCCACTTGCCCTTGATAATTCTGTGAGGTGGCAATGTGTCTCTGTGACTCTTTGTCTTAGATAACCAGCCCCACTGATCAGTACAGCAGGACTACCTGCTGCTCATCAAACCAGGCTAGTTGCCTCCTGGGCAGAGCTGGACTACATTTCCCAAAATCCCCTGCTCTTAGCCAGACCATGTGACTCAGGGCCAATGGGCTTGGGAGAGGATGGGGCATCTTCCAGGCCTGGCTCCCAGTTTGGAGATAGCAAGACGTTCTTGCAAGCACAGCTTTCAGATGGCAAAGCCACAAGATTGGAAGCTGCTGGCATCAGGAACACTCATGTTTGACTTCATATGCAAGAAATATATTCTATTGTGTCAGGATGCTGAGATGGGAGTTTTGGAGCGGCTAACCTGCCCAAATACAAAGTACACAGTGTGAATGAACCCCAGGACTTATTTGCCTAGGACTGTCCCTGACATCCCCACCTAACCATTCTCCCAGGGTTCAGCATGTGTGTGTCCCTTTGGGTTTACTGTTGATCCTGCTTCCACACCTCTGGCTCAGAGCTCTTTCTGGAGCTGGAGAGGTGGTGGGGAACGGCAGAGGCCACTTCTGCTAGCCCCTCTCCTGGGATGGGAAGAAGGCAGAGGGGAAGCATTTCTTTGCTCCCCACTCCCCTCAGCAAGGCTGCCACACCCTCCCTGGCTGGTGGCAGTAAGCAGCTGGGGTCCCCGCCTTAGCAGCTCCTTTGGGCACAGGTGGTCCTCCGAGTTCCAGCCCCAGTCCCAGCTGAGACCTGATTGGTATCATCTTCCTCTTTGTCCCAAGAGAATTCTGGCAAGCATGAGGCCCCACCTCACCTTACTCTACCAGCTCTCAGCCACAGTGCCTGGGAACCCCACATTCTGCTTCACTCTTGAGCTACACCTCTGGGGCCAGCCTGTGAGTGCTCCCTCTACTGTGGAGCAGAACTAAGTGCCATGGGTCTTAACTTGACTTTCCCTATCTGATAAAGCACAAAAAGCATATCTTGTGGATAAGCAACTGTCCTTGCAAGACACAAAGGCCATGCAAGTCACCCCTTCTTTGAGGCTTCCCAACTGTATGGGTGACACTCCTTCAAGTTCCTGTGACATCAAGGCATGCACGTCACCTCTGCCCACAGCAACTGCAGCCACTGCTCCATACTCTTGCATTTGACTGTGGAGTGGAGCCGTGGCTGCAGCTTAGGACGAAAAGAAGTTGCTGTAGTACCAGTGGCCCTTGGGACTCAAGACACTTTGGAGTTAAAAGTGGGCAGCGAAATTGGCAGGTCCTTCCACTAGATGGCAGTCACACCATAATTTCAATTTCATTTCCAAGCGGGTTCTCATTTTCCTTTTCTCAAGCATTGGGTGGGGAGTGAGGGGCTCTCACATGCCCTGCCTGTCCTCTGCCTGCTGAACCTTAGTGAGAACAGTCAAGTAGTTCCTCTCCTCTCCTGTCGGGGCCCTGGGCTCATCCACAGGCTTCACGGCTAGGCTTCTTCTCTTAGATTTCTGTGCCCAGCGCCTACCACTCAGGCATGCTCAGAACTGCGTGGGGAGCCCCACAGGTCCTCTAGCTGCATTATACTCTCCCCAGCCCCAGCCTATGGCTCCTCTGTGCCTGAGGTTGCTCCCTGGGGACTGTGCTCAGCATAGGGGTCACCCCCATTTCTGCCTCCAGGCAATACGAGTCAACCTAACACCTAACCTGTGGATCAGGACAAAAATAACTGACTAAGGGCAAAGACCATCCTGATAGCTCAAGGTTCATTGAGGTTGGTTCTAGCCCAGGAAAACACTAAGGGACCCAGAGGGATATTGCTGAGGTTTAGGGTAGGATCACTCCAATCTTATCGCTAGTGTTGTTGTTAATTTTTAGCCCCAGGGCTGGCAAGACAGCTCAGCAGATTAAGTGCCTGCTTAGGCAAGCACTGGGGCAGGCGTTCGATCCCTGGCACCACATAGGATCCCCTGGCCTCACCTGGCATCCCCTGGCCTCACCCCCAGGTGTGCTGAATCTGGAAGTAGTGGTGCACACCTATAATCCCAGCACTGGGAAGGTTGAAAACAGGAGGATCACTACAAGACTTAGCTGCATAGTGAGACCCTATATCAAATACACACACACACACACACACACACACACACACACACACACACTTGCAAATTCAGCCCCAACAAGGCCTATAGGTGCAGTCATGGTGGTACGAGAAAGTCCAGCACCAGGGGACAGGCTGGCCTGCGAGGGCCAGGCTCCCCAGCCTGCCAGCTCTCTGGCGTCCACACATTCACAGGCTGTAAAGAACCTGGCATGAGCCAGCTGCATCCAGAACCTGGCATGAGCCATGGGCACAAGCACCCCAGATTCCATCACACCACGCTGATGAGAGGCCCCAGAATCCAATGCCCCTGCATGAAAGAGGGAGTGGAGTACTCCCAAGGCTCTGGGCACAGTGGTGTGGGGGCTTGCTCTGCAGACTGGCGCCTAGCACTCTGCAAAGGTGATCAGCTCCTCTCCCACCTTCCCCTGCCTTGGTTTCCCTCAGCAGCTTCGGCAGTTGGCTGTGCCCCAGGCCTCTAAGAGAGGCTGAGTGTTCAAGGACAGCTCCGGGGACCTGCACAAGGATGCAGTTCAGCCGGGGTATGGTTACCATGCCTAGGAGAAGAGGTTGGAACCTTCCTTCACTGGACCTCAAAGCCTGATGGGAAGGATGTGGGGTCTTCTGGAGCCTTCTGGAGAGTCTACACTGGATGCAGCCTGGGAATGTGGCTTGGGATGCCAGACCACCTGGGTCCAAGCTGTTGTGGTTTGCATGTCCTTGCCAAAACTGATGTTGAACTTTCCTTCCCACCATGAGTGTAAGAGGTTCTGCCCCCGGAACCTGCCTAACTGGCTGGTGCATGGATTTTGCATCCCTGTGAGCACAGGTCTGTTTGAGGAGACAGTTGACCCTGGACTCTGGCATGCATACTTCTGCCCTTGACCTCCTGCACTGTGTTAGTTCTCTGTAGGGGACCAACCAACAGGAAGATGCTCAGGGGATGTGGCCCTTGAGCTGGGACACCCATCCCCAGATTGTGAATGGAATATACTGTTTTCTTTATACATCATTCGATCTGTGGAATTCAGTTGTGTAAATGAAAAGAGCCTTAGCCCTAAGCCCAGCCCTAGCTCCACGACCATCCAGCTGAGTGCCATTGGGCAAGGGGCTTTTTATCTCCCATCTCCAGCACGCGTTTAGTGAAATAGACATAAACACATCCCTTTACTTTGAGCACTGTGGTCAGCAGAATAATGGCCCACAGAGACGCCCACCTCCTAGTCCTGCAACCTCGTGAATGTCACCTTGTAGGACAAAAGATGCACCCTTCTGAGTCCAAAGAATCCTTGTGAACAGCTCTGCACCAGACTCCAACACAGGTGACATCACCAACAGCCCTGTCAGGGGCGCATGCTCAGGCTTGCCTGACTTTCTGGTTAGTGTGTGGTGACGCCACCTTTGGCTTTGACCTTGCCCCTCACCTTCCCTCAGGCCAGGCTTGCACCCCCAGGTCCCTGATGCCCTGTTTTTCATTCCTCTGTCTTCACTGCTGTAATTTTACTGCTGTACCAGTCACCAAGACTTGGCAATCTTGTGTCCACCTCTAGCATGAAGTTTAGTACCCAGATCACTGCCTCAGATGGAAGGAACCCATGGGGAGCCACAGGCACGGAAGGCTACACATGAGGCCTGCGGGTTGAGAAGTGTGTTCCGGCACCTCATCCCAGCCCCCCAGGGTTCACATCACAGGTGGGGAAGGGGCTGCACCTGACCCTTGGCTTGGCTTTGCTTTCTCCTGCTCTCTATGGCTTCAACTTGCTGGCCTGAGCCTGGGCAGGTCCACCCCTCACCAGGCTTAGGTCTAGGAGGAAGTTCAGTCACATTGGTCCCTTATTGTCACCCAGAGCCCTTGGGTGGCTGCTCTCTGGCTCACAAACATCCAGTCAGGCTGTCCCACTTGTGCTTTCCCAGAAGGAAGTGCCCTGCCTGACACTCACTCTTCCGGTCACACTGGTGGCCTCTTCCCTGCGGCTGTCACCACAGGCCTTCTCCTATCTGTAGGCAGCACCATCCACAGGGGATAGGTCAGGAGCAATCAGAGCCAGAGTTAATCAGCAGGGTGCCACTCTGACTGGCTGGTGGATGTAGATGGGCAGGTCACTAGCCTTCCTGTCCCGGGTGAGACACTCCTGAGGCTGGCTCTGTGCCACCTCAGATGCCACTAGAGCTGAGCCTGGGCCCACAGCAGCTGCCTGTCACTAACATGCCTAGCTGGTCTCCCCTCATTTCATTCCTTGCACCCTTGTCTTGCAGCTTGGGGCCAGTTCTGAAATAACCTGCTCAGGCCTTTGTCTTGGGCTCTGTGTCTGGTGGGGGCCAAACTAAATCAGACTCTACTGGTGACAAAACCCAGCCTCACCAGGAAGAGATGACTTTGCTTAGCAGGCATTTCTACTCAGCTCAGTGACAACCACAATATGATACATGGAACTATAAGAAACCATTTTGTGACTGCTGGCAGGATAGCACCATCACTCTCAGATGTCCCTGTTGACCAATTTCTTCCTGTCATTTATCATGAATTAAAAAATCTAGTTTATCATTTGGATTTTTAACTTCTTTCTAGTGTTAATGTCCTCTAGACTGGCCCGCACTTCTGGCTCACCCACGGAGACCAGGCTGGCCTTCCTGTGAATGTCCTGGATCTGCCCTCCCCAGGCAGGGGTGCAGTGACAGCCTCTGACACCCTCTTGGAACCCCTGAAAGGCACTCAGTCCTACCTGGGATGATCTCAAAGAGGTGCTTCCCTGGATCCTCGGGGCCGGGAGGAAGTTCAGTCACCTGGGTCCCTTGTAGAGAAATAAGTCCCTAAAATGGAGACAAACACAAACAGGAAAAATAAACAGCTAAGGAAGGGGACCTGTATTCAGACCCCTGGGGAAAGGACAATTTGGGTCTTAGGGTCAGGGACCCAGCCATCCGGGGCCTGGCAGGGCAGTCCAGGTCCCAGGAAGGAATATGGTCTTCCTCTCCATGTCACAGGCCCAGAACAGAGGAGACCCCATGCTGCTTGGGAGGGGACATTGTGATGACACCCATAGCTGTAGGAGCTCTGCCCACCATGGGGCCAGCAATACCTGGGTAAGCAAGTGTAGGCAGACCTGCACCCGTGTCCCATCACCCCAGGCCCGGAGCCCATCTGTGATCTTTCTCAGATGGTAGGCCAATAGATTTAGACAGCCCAGACAGCGAGCTGTGCATCCTGGGCTAAGGTCCTGGGTGACTGGGAGTAGTGCGTAGGTCCATGAGTTCAATACTGCCCTGTCCTGGCAGCGTGAGCTTACATTTCTTGTCTTGATTTAAGTTACGTTTAATGAAAGTTTATTTATTTGATGTGGTGCTGGGATGGGCCGCAGGGCCTCGTGTATGCTACGTGAGCCTCTTCTCCTGAGTTACACCCCAGCCCAAGGTCTCATTTCTTTACCTAAAAAATGGAGGTCAGCTACTATGTACAAAGCATCCAGCTGAGACAGTGCCACCTCCCCAGTACATGTGAGTACCATTATCCTCATTATCCTCATTATCCTGGGGAGAAGAGTTCTAGGATGCCCTCTAGAGACCCAAGGCCGAGGATCTCTTCTATAAAATGGCACAGCATTTGCATAGAACATAATCCTCCTATAGTCTTTATATCGTCCCAGATGACTTACAATGCCTAATGTAATATAGGTGCAGTGCCAACAGTTGACAGAATACATTGTTTAGGAAATGATGACAAATGAGCACAGGTTTCGTTTGGAAGATTTTCAGCCTAAGGCTGGATAACCGGGAGATGTGGAACCCGAGGATACTGATGGGCCTCTCTGTGCCCGGCTTCCTCCCCTGGGAGACAGGCATCGTGACAGTACTCTGCTACTGGCTACAGTGAACACTGGGAGGTCCTTAGTCCTTACAAGCAGGCCAGTGCACACGCCTGCCAAGTCAATCACTGCTGCCATAGCGTTGGGCTCCATGCCAGGTTGCGGGGACAGCACCCCTATGACTGAACCTGCCCAGGTTGCTCCAACCACCCAATGCCTGGCCACAGAGCACCCCTTGCTTGAAGAAACAGTAATTCATGTAAAGCTTCCCAAAGCCCCTCAAAGCACATTATGATTTCAGTTACATAGGCAAGGAAGTGAAATGAAGGGGCCACACCGTGCACCTACAGTGCAGCCCACTTCCTCCAGGAAGACCCTGCTGTGACAAGAGCCTCCCTTGTAGCTGCTGGCACCCAAGTTGCAGGGACACCTGAAAATATCATTTAGGCAATAGAAAGGCAGAGTGATGACACAGATGCTGTGTGAGCGGGGTTATGACTATGAACCAGAGAACCAGCTGGGAATCCTGGTAATTAGGAATAACTATTCCTTGCTTGCTGGGAAATCTGGAACTACCAGGAATAAGCGAGGACCCAGCCCTAGGAGGCAGAAAGCAACTCCTAGGAGTGCTGGGTGAGAGCCATGGCTAGCTGATGGGATGCATCTTGGCTGTTTACTGTGTCAGAAGCTGAGTGTCCAAGGAATTCCGAGCAGTTTTCCTTTCTGTTTTTCTGTGCCTCAATCCCTGTCATCCATATGATAGGAGTAGCAATATTGATGTGGACATTACTTTTTATTCCAGGTAAGTGGAAGAAAAGGAACAGATTCTCTTTATGGAGCTGGTGTGACAGCTCTGGCCTTTCGTTTGAAGTACTGGATTTAGTCTAGGAGTCCATGAAGTAGGTCCTACTGGGTTAGCAGATGGATGTGGGGGAAGTAACTCGGGAACAAGGGTGAGCTGGGACGTGGGCCAGGCCTGAGGCTGCTTCCCAACAGGGCGACCACAGTCACCTATAACTTGGCTTGCAGGAAGCTATCCTGGACAGCTTGGCCATGGCTTTGAGATAGCTGCTTCCCTTGCCTTCAAGTGAGTCCCAGTGTCCCCCTCCCATGACAAGGGGACCTTAGCAGTGGTCCTTATTGATACTGATCCTGAACCTCCCCCATGTCAAGAGGAAAACTTTGGTTCCAGGAGCTATGGCAATGAGGGGGGCGGGTTAGGGCGCGAGTGGAGTCAGGGGCGGTGGGTAGTGAAGCAGACCTATTTGCTCACTATGTGCAGGACGCTGGTTAGGACGGTCATGCGAGGATGTGCACAGCGCTGGAGTGAAGCACCTGATGTCAGGCGAGGGGTGGGCCCTAACCTTGAACTGGATTCCCAGATGGCTGCAGGCTATTGGAACACAGCTGGGCTGGTGTTTGACAGAGCAAAAGACTAATTTGGCTATCAAGGCACAGAAGCATTAGTCTGTTAGACCCTTGTTTACTCTTTAGAATATTTCTATTAATGAATTATTAATGCTATGAGTTTTATCACATTAAACAATGAATACTTCCCATGAAAAATATCACCAAAATAAAGTACTGAGTTTTTAATATTTATTGTTTATAAAAAAGCATTGAAATTGCCAACACTGACAAGTTTTTAGTGTACAACATCTAAGAATAAACACCAGAGATAAATTCCTACATTAACAACAATGAAAATAGCAATAGAATGCTGCAAAAAAAAAATCAACCTTACTTCAGCAATCACGCTGAAGGCAGTCTGCACATGTGACGGCAGCATGTTCCACACTGACTGTGCATGTGTTCTGCTTTCCTGGCCTTTTTGGAGGACATATTGATGTCTCAGTGATCTTGCTGTTTTATTGGAAGGTTCCTATTATATTGTCCAGCATGCACTTAGCAGTAAAACATGATCTTTAAAAAATTTTTTTTTTATGTATTTAGGACAGGGTCTACAGGGTCTCACTGCACAAGTTGGACTCATAGTAATTCTCCTGTTTTTCAGCCTCCCAAATGCTGGGAGTGTAGGCACACACCACCAGGCCCAGTCTCAAATGCCATCTCAGCATACCCCAGGGGCAGGGCCGGGCCTACAGGCCAGAGATCCAAAACCCCAGTCCCTGCATCTGCCTAAGCAGGCGCTTTAATCCGCTGAGCTATCTGGCTGGCCCGGAAATATGATCTTCATAGAATAAAATATCAAATATTTAATGAGTGCTTAGAATAGGCATTAACATTTTCACAATAGTTGTTTACTTGTTACTCAAGCCTAAATGATAACACCAAAAATAAAAATCTATGTGAACTATAATGTAAACAAAAATGAAAGCCTACTACAGAAATAAGCTTTGCTTCCACTGTCATATCCAAGGTAGTCCTCATACATGATAGCTGCATGTTCCATGCACAAGTATCACTCATGTTGGTGGCATGTATGTTTTGTTTTCTTATCCTTTCCTGTAAGACACAGTTGATATCTTTTCCGTTTTCCCGCTATCATGGTAGGTCTTTGTGACACTGTGTCTGCCTGTTCACCGTATCAGTTCACTAGTGTGCTCCACAAATTTGTTACATAGTTCTCTGGGCAGAAACATCTTCAGTTTTCCTCTGTTGTAAATGATCTCTTATGAGCTCCAGTCCCATTCCTTGTAAGAAAATTTCTCTGTGATGTTTTTCACTTGTTATTTTCTTTGTAAAGTATCAAATTATTTATGCCACATATATTTAGGATCAAGTAAAGCATTATCATTGGCCAATGTTTTGTGTTTCAAGTGACGTCATAGTTGATGCATAACTCATCAACAATTACTCCACCTTTGGTTTTCTTGCCAAAAGTTTCTATCTCAGGTATCTGTTTTGTCAAGGTTTCCCTATCAATATTTCCACCATGGTGCAATGTTGACATTAGCCGTATCAGTTTGCTTTTCTTTGTCATGTACAAGGCCAATGTTATATGTTTTTGAAATTAAAATATTGTACAATACAATTCTTTATTTTGAAATTGCAACATTTCCTTTGGAATTTCTGCTTTGTTCCTATGTGCAGTTCCTGAGCTGGTCAACTTATACTTTTAGCAAATGTAACATCAGTTGGAAAATGGTAAACCGAGTATCAAATGTCACTTTCCCATTAGTTTGAGAGACAGGGGAAAAAGTCTGTTCACAGCATCATTTGGTTTATTACTAAACAAATAAAGACCAGATGGCTGAGTTCCAGGATAACTGTCTAAATTGAAAGCATAACATTTTCTCATCTACAAGGGACATAAATTTTTGTACCATGTTTTGACCTACTACTTTTCAATGAGTCTTTTACATTCCCGTGATCGCCATGAGAAATCCCTAGGAAGCATAGTAGACCTATGAATTCTTTCAGCTCAGCTAATGAGGTGCTATAATAAATACAACTTAAATATGGCTATTGGTGCATACAGAATGTCTTACTTGCATCTCAGCCTTCATGTATTTCACAGCATCTTGGAGCATCTTGTGTGCTACACTTTCTAACCCCAAAGGCCAGAGCTGGCATTCTGTCCAATACCTTTTCACCCCTACCAAGACCTTCACTATATTTTCTAGTTCACTATGTCTCTAGTTCTAGCACTGGATGGTCCCATTTGGTTGAGTGGTCATTTTGCAACATTTTGGTCAGTCAAATATGTCCACACATTGCTGTTTTCTTCATCACCTGATTGTGCATTCCCTGGGTCTGCATCAGTCCATTCTCGTTCCATTTCACCATCCCAGGAGCTTTGGCTCACAAGGCCAGCATCAAAGTCATCATCATCATCCACCCACACAACTCTTCTGTTATGAAAGCATGTATTTTACCATAATGGATCACTTTCATCATTCATGCATGAGTAATTGGATGATTCTCTTTTTTTTTATTACCAGGGTTCAAACTCTGGACTTTGTGCTTGCCAGGCAGGTATTCATGTCACTGAGCTATCACCCCATCCCTGATGATTCACTTTTGACCTTTTCCAAAACTCACAGA